TTGCTGAGCTGCAACGAGCCTGCTCGGGGGCCGCACGGCGAAATCCCAGGGCTTCTTTCCAAAAGGCAGCAAGGCTGTTGCCTTACTTTCCCCGTAACCATCCCTTGGCATATGCCCTGGTCTCCTGAGGGGTTGTTTAGTGTCACCCTGAAGGTTTGCACACTTGGAGAGGAGGAAAAGGCCCCGAAGCCCTTCATCTGAATGGCGACATCTTCCGGTACATCGTACCATCGTGCTAAGCAGGTAGGGATCGTAACCCTTTAAAAAAGGCACCCGACCCATCCCTGTGCCACCCTGCTTCCTCTCCAGAACCCGCAACGGTCGTTGAGGACCTGATGAATATTTTTTTTTAGGGATGTCAAGAGATACAGTAAGCTGAAAAAGTGGGAGACTTCAAAGCTCTGGAACAGCATAGCTGCCGTGCGGTCTCAGGGAAGAGGGCGAGCTGCGGCCTCGGCAAGTGTTGCCTTCTACTGGAGGCTCAACTTGATGTCTTTAAGATTGGGGTGAAGGACGACGTTTCTTAGCCCCCATCCCAGCACTCACCATGAGTTGGAGGCTCCTCTCTGGCCATAAATCAATGCAGATCGATGTCCAAGGGCCTTTCCCCATTTGCCCCACACGGGATTTGGTGCAGCGCTTCCAAATCCCACCTGAGAAGCCAAAAGTTGGTTCCCCCGACCTGTTGTGTTGGTCGCTGATGCTAAGCAGGGCTAAAGAAAACTTGAAGGTCAGTGGGGAGGCTCCGTTTATCCTGGCTTTGCTGCTCTGCCCGTGGCTCCCGAGCGCTGCGGCTGGGGTTTCCCAAGAGTTCACCGCAGCTTATTCGGGCCAGGCCAAGAGAAAGCCGCAAATGGGCCTCGCCAAGCAACCATTGACCCATGTGGAAGCCAGCTCTGGGCCACTGCTCATCCCCATGGTGCTATTTCGGTACCAGCTCCGAGCTCGCGCCGTAACGCCCGCTGTGCTGGGAAGGAGAGCAAAAAGAAAAACAATCTTGTGGGCCGAAAGCAGGGGTTTTAATGTGTTTTTATGTGTTCCTTGGGTTTGATTTTTCTTTTCCTTACCACCGCGTTGAGCTCTTGGAAAGTTATGGGGTGATCCCCAGCTGGGAGGGCAGAGATTTGTGGTGGGTGAGGTTCGCCGGGTTTCCCGGGGAGGCAGCGCAGGGGCCAGGGGTTGTCCCCGTGCCACGGCCGGTGGACACCGTCACTCCACTGCTCGCCGGACTTCTGCTCGGTGGCTTGATGGGCCGTGCCAAGCGACTCTTCCTTCTGCCCCCATCCTTGCTCGCCTGGATGCCACCTGCAATACCTTGGATTTTCGCTTGCATCTTAGATTTATTGGTTTGGGTTTTTTTTTTTTTTTCCCTTTTCCTTCTTGATGTCATAGGAGGTACAGGGTGTTGGAGTTGGCTGTTCTGGATTGCACTCAGGCTCATTAGAAGTGGTTAAAAATCTTAAAGTCAGAAGTAATTCAGGTGCAAGCGGCTGCGGGGGGGCTGCTGCACCCCAGCTGGGCCAAGGGGGCGCGCGGGGGCTCTCACGGCGCGTGTCTTGACTGTGATCCCAACACATTGACTGGCTTAATAAAACACGAGATGTTTGTACCTCTTCTGCTGTGGTGATTCCCAGCCCGGATTTCTCCTACGCAACCTCTGAGATGTTTTTTCATCAGCGAATCCACCCTCAGCCCTGCGCTTTGCTGCCCAAACTTTCTGATTTTCAGAGAAAAAAACACCAACTTTGCCATTCCCAACACCTTTGAATGATTTTGCCTCAGGTGAAGGAGGACAGAGCCTTGGTTTGCTTCTCACAGAATCCCAGAATGGCCAGGGTGGGAAGGGACCCCCGGGAGATCACCCAGTCCCACCCCCCTGCTCCAGCAGGCTCACCCAGAGCAGGGGGCACAGGACAGCAGCCAGGTGGGGGTTGAAT